CAATTACTTTTGAAACAGCTGAATGTGACTGAAAACTACTCTCTTATCGCTCTCCTTTTTTGCAGATCAGCGAGCACATAGGAAAACGCACGAACTTCACAATGCACTAGTCCTTTTATGATAGTGAAGGGTAGCACATCTAGCAACACTCAAAGATCTCGATCGGATTTCCGTTACAATGAGCTCAACGTTAAAGCGCAATAGTTAATGTGCTTCATGACTCCCCAGTGGGAAATTTTCCTATTAAGGTGATAGGGAAATTCTCCTATTAGAGGTGATACAGAGCTCAAAAATTGCTCTAAAGTAGAGATAGTCCAGCACCCGCCGCGAACAAGCTGTACGTAGTGCGTACTTGACGCTTGATATTACCATAAAGAACAACACGACCTTCCGCTGTGCAAATGAATAGCAAAAAATGCAGACCTTGATACAAATATTCCGAGAACAGTAGAAACGACTTCCATGATGTCCCACCGAATGGAAACGATCGGGCGGTCCGTCGCAGGATTCGGCGGCTGGATTGCTTTTTGCTGTCCGAATCGATGATGCGTATCGTAAACAATCTTTGAAATTAGCGAAAATGAGTGGGCAATTTGAACCTCGCCCAGAAGTTCTAGTGCCAAGGAATTTTTGAGATGGATGGATCATCAGTTATGCTTCGAAAAGGACTGCTGTCGAGCGGGACAGGTATCTCTATTTCGTCTTAAGCGCTGCGTCTGATTACTCATTCGTTTGTCTTTTCAGAAGTTCTATATCAGCGAATTCAGAGGAGAAGAAAAATCGACAAATTATCCGACTGAAGAGTCACTTGAAGAGGTCGTAAATACGGGTCAAAATTGGATGGGTTGGACGCAAACCAAAAAAAATGAAGCATAAATGCATTAACTGAGTACCTACCCCTATGGTTTCACAAACTCAAACTATGGGATGCCAAGTCTGATTTTCCATTTCATCTCTACGTAAGACGCTGCTGACCGTTTCGCAACTTGCTCATACTTTTCTTGTGTGAAATCAGTGACCTTATCAAAAACATTTAAAAATATAATTAAATAACAACTAACCTAAACATAATGATTCTGACAGCGAGACGCTGTTGTTGAGATACCCTCTGGTCACTTAACTTCCTGGACCGATGTAGTTTCAGACACTTAGTCCCCACGAACCCAT